TTTTGAGATGGAGTTTCTCTCTTGTTGCCCATGCTGGAGTGCAATGGCATGATCTTGGCTCACCACAACCTCCACCTCCCAGGTTCAAGTGATTCTCTTGCCTCAGCCTCCCGAGTAGCTGGGATTACAGGCATACGCCACCACGCCTGGTTAATTTTATATTTTTAATAGAGATGGAGTTTCTCCATGTTAGTCAGGCTGGTCTCGAACTCCTGACCTCAGGTGATCCACCCACCTCAGCCTCCCAAAGGTGCTGGGACTACAGGCGTGAACCACCATGCCTGGCCAATACCTTGATTTTTAATCTTCCTTTTTATCTTTCCAGTTAGTGTCACACCTTTGAGTTCATCTGGGATAGGAGGGGAGAGGGGGTAGGTTGGAGGGCTAGTCTGAGTGCCCTCAAGATGAGAGCATTTCCGAGGCAGGGTCACCTGCTTAGACGGTTGCCCTGACCCCTTTCCTATGTGGGAAGAGAGGACAGAGCCCAGGCAAATCTTCCTTGCAGTGGAAATGACCGAGGTCTGGCTCTCAGGATGAGTAGCTTTGATGAAGGTCACTTGGAAGCTATTTGGCAGGTATGAGCTCAAAACCTTGCTTGCTCTCATCCTACACATCCCCATGAGTTCAACGCTTCTCAGAAAGTTTTAGTCACAGAACCTTCACTTGAAACGAAATTCAAGCAGAATTGCACTGGAGCAGATAGCAGCTGAGTGGCTGAGAGCCAGGGATGTGGGGGTGCCAGGAGTAGGCGTCCCCTCAGTCACCCCTTTCCCCACCCTCTGTCCCTGCAGTACCCCCACCAAACATCCCAAGAACCACTGCCCCCTAGACCACACAGCCTCCTTTAGCCAAAGGGCATTGTAAGCTGAGCCTTCCCTATCCCCCATTCCTCCTTTCTCCAACCAGAGAGGACAGATGCTCCCAAGTAAATGAGCTGAAATTCAAGTCAGAGACATTCCTAGGGGCTGTTTACTTGGTGTTCCATGCCTAATGGGTTCGGATGTGCCCTCTGGCTGAATCACGCCTCTGACGGTCCAGCAGACGCTGCCAAGAAGCAGGGTTGGTGTTGGGCAGCAGGGTCACCACCACAGACGTGTGGCATCTGATACCTCCCCACCTGCTTGACCCTTCCAGCATCTCTCCCTTCGACAGACAGATTCCTGGCTCCGTTGTTCGGGGTTTCCTCATGCCTTCTCATGCTTTCTGTACTGCGTCTGCACTGAGTCTGAGATCAGGCAAGCATCTCAAATTACAGAGCAGGGATTTGGGAGAGAAGAGAAGATACTGAAATGGTAATACCCAAGAAAGTCCTGCTTTTTAAAAAAATATATTGGGTAGTACTCGGCGAGCATCCAGCGGAGCAGGTAGTAGACTCCACATCCCTTTGTCCTTAATCTAAGAGGCTTGTTTGAGTAGGCAATCTACATCTTGATATCTCCTGGGAGCAGTGGTAGTGTGCTGGACCTGGAGCCAGAAGCCTGATTCTGCTTCCAGCTCAGCAGTGAACAGTTCCAGTGACCCTCAGCAAATGTCTTGACCCTTTAAACTTGGCCTATATTGTTAATAAAATAAAATGTCATTTCCAAGGCCTCTTCTAAGCTCTATCTTTGTGTTTAACAGGCCACTGATAGTTACTGCCTGGCAGTAAGTCCTCAGCCCCCTTCAGAGCAAAGGGGTCCAGGAGGCTCTTTCAATGAAGTTGTTCTGGAAAATGTCCTGCATGTTGAATGAAATCAGCCTTGTAACCCTGCTCAGGCCAAACGCAACCATACACTGGACCAAGGGAAGCCAGCCACCAGTCAGGTGACCCGTAGCTACTCTATCCAAAGTGGGCCCTCCTTATTGATGGTGACCAGACCTGAGATTCTCCGATGCCAAGAGGAGGATTGAAGTTCTTATAGAGAACATGCTGGAGCAACCCAGGAAGACAGGGTAATCTGAACAAGGACTGTCGTTGCTCCACTTCTTCAGGGCACCCCCACAGGCCAGTTCTGGGAGCACTGCGACCCAGCACTCAGTTTCCCATGTGGCCTTACGGTCAACATCCATCACCAGAGGAAGGTCAAGCCCATCTTGCCCTGGCAACCTAGTATCACCTAGAGGCGATGATTCCATTCTATTTTGCAGGGAGGTCATGATGTGTAAGAGTTAAGTCCTGGGTCTTAAATCAACTGGGATTGCAAATTGGGTGTTGGGCATTACTCCTTGTTTCTAATCTTACACATAAGATTAGCTCCACGTGGGTCAATGGAGCAAACATTTCTTCAAAATGACGAGCCTGAGTAGTTTATTACTAATAAGGTGACCTTGTAAAAGATGTGTGACCTTGTAAAAGATGCTTGACCTCTGTCTTAGTTTTCTCGTCATCTGATAGGGACAATGTTGTTCAATCTACCTACCTCCTAGGGCTGCTGTAGAAAGAAATCAAATGGAATCATGTACATGAACATACTCAGTCATACAATGGACTAGATAAATAATTTTCCTTAAAACCCAGACAGTGAGGGGCATGAGACAGGACAGCATGGAACTAACAGCACTGGCTCTGGAATCAGACTTGACTGGGTTCAGATTATGGCTCTGCCAATTCCTACAAGAGTGACCTTGGACAAATTACTTAGCCTTTGTAAGTCTCAGTTTTCTCATCTGTAAATTAGCAATAATATAGCACTTACTTTATAGGGTTGTTAATTAAGTTAATGTATGTCAAGAGAAGTGCCTAGCATATAGTAAATGCTCCCAAATGTCTATTATTATAAAGAATGCCACATACCTCTGGCCAGAAGCACATTTTCTTGGCTCCCACAGCCCTTCTGTGCCCATAGAAGGGAAGCGCTTGCTGTGGATCTTGGCATTCTTGAAGGGATGCCTGATGGGTCCTCCTCCTCCAACAGAGGTGGTTCCTGGCCTCCTATTCCAGCACAGTTGACTGTGAGAGCACGTGCAACTTCCGCCTTCCCAAGAGCTTCCGTTTCCTGCCCTAGAAAAGAAAGGCATTCGCAATGACCTGTCCCACAAATGGTCACTTGGATTACCTCATTTGTGGTATCCTGGACAAAACCCCTACTCCATGATTTCCTGGATGTACACCCTACTGCAGGGGGGCGTATGAGCCCACACACGCCACCAAATCAGCAAGAGAAGTCGAGGAAACAACCCTGGGCCTAAAGAGCTCCCTCAGGAAGGCATGGAGAATTATTTTTGCTTTAAATATCTCTAAAGAAGGTTTAGAAAAGAGACTCTCCAGCTTTTCCTTTGCCTTTACGTTTTCTGGTTGGCAACATAGAAATTTCCTATCTTGAGTCCAGGATGAAGTGGATATTTTTTAAGGGAGTTTTGTTTCCAGAACACAGTCTGTTCTTCTCAGCAAAGCCCTTAATTGGAAACAGTTGTCACTGACCCCATTGGCATGCCCCGGGGTGGGGAGGGCATGCACCCAGCCTGCAGTGACTTTGCTCTGCCATTTCCAAGGAGGCAGCCTGAAGAACTGAGCCCCATATGCCGGGGGCCTCGCTGGGCTGACCAGTCTGCTTGGTAAAGGGCCGGGACAGAGGGTGGTTTCAGCCGTGCACACTCGGTTTTCTGCAGTGGTTCTAATTCAGGCTGTCCAGAGACGATCACCTGGATGACTCCTAGAAAGGTCCCCTCTGGAGCAGGAGAACAGGAGAGGAAGAGGGTGGCCATTGCACTTAGAGTGACTTCTGTGTTGGGTTAGCTGCTGGCTGGATCTCTGCCCTTGGCTGCAGCCTCTTGTAGATGACACATTCATACCCAGCCAGAAAGACAGCCTTGGCTGCAGGTTTGGATTTCCTAACACCCAGATGTGAGCCGTGAGTGGCACACAGCAGTGACCCATTCCTAATATTTGCTCAGATGACACAAAAGTCTTTGTCCTTGAAGCCAATCGCAAGCCAAACCTTGGACTCTGTCACCCTGGCTTCCACAGATGCTTGCTTCATAAGTCCTAAGGTAAGAAATAGCAGAGCTCCATCCTCCAGCCTTACCACGAACGGATGCCAATGTGCAAGCTCAGGAAGCTTCTGCATTAGGAAGAGGCTGCCGGAGCACTTGCAGTGAGTGACCCGGATCATGCAGGCCCTGTCAGATGACTTATGTCACTTTCCTCAAGGAGGAAATTACACTCTTTAATACTTGGCTGAGGGGAGGAGGCATTCTTTGGGGAGATCAAAAAAAAAAAATGTTTTGCAGATTTTACCTTTTTTAACCTCAAAAATATTTTTAAATTTAAGATGTTTTCTGAGGTAGAGAGTTTTAAATTTAAGATGTGAGGTGTGACACTGTAATTGTGAATTCCACCATCCAGCTAAGCTAAGGCCTATGGCGCATAATTCACTCTTTCCTTCAGCGAATATTTGAACAGTGTAAAACTAAAACAGCCCGTTAAGCAATGTGCAAGGTTCTCCCGCTGAAACACAGCCTGGAGTCATAAGACTTGGTCGCTGGGCTGCAGCAGTCAGAGTCCGATTAAGACATTCAGAGACCATAAAGATAGGACCCATTATGGAACCTCACCCCAAATTAAAGACAACACCAAATTGCATTTTTTTAAGCGTAAGGGAAGGAAATCAAGGATCTGATTTTTCCTAAGATGAATGTTTCAATAGCAAATAATCTCCACCTCTCCCATCTTCTGCCCCCCCCATTCCCATCCCTCCTCCCCGTCTCCACCACAATGCTCATCCACCAGAGGAAAGTGGGCGTGGGGGAGGGGTTGCACTTGAGTGACAGGTGTGAGGTTATGGCTTGAAAGCGAGAGCTTAACCCCAGGGGAGAGAGAGACTTCCTTTCACAGCAAAGTGGTCTAAAGTAGGCCAAGGCAGCTGGTTGGGAGAGGAATGAGAATTCTCAAGAGGTGATGAAACTGATGCCGTAATGTCAGAGTGGGGAAGACATAGCAGACTTTAACTCGGGAAGTTTCTGTGAAAGAACTGAGGCTGTTGGAGCCTATGAGAGAGTAATACTGGAGTGAAATCAAAAGAGTTGACGTGAAGGCCATGCAGAAAATTATCTTGATTCTTCCAGGACACTAAGGACAAAAGCAACAATTCAGTTTCCACAGAGAAATGTGTGTTCTTGGGGAAGAGTGGAGGAAATCATTCAAGGAGAAACA